AAATATCTGTAATCCCCAGCCACTTTGGGAGCAGACACAGCGGATCGCTTGAGGCCAGGAGTTTGAGCCCAGCCTGGGGCACACACGGTGAGACCCTATCCTACTAAAATTAAAAAAAAAAAAAAAAATGGCCCCTGCTTGGTAGTGGGTGCCTGTAGTCTCAGACTACTCAGGCAGTGAGTCTGAAGTGGGAGGATCACTGAGCCTAGGAGTTTGAGGCTGCAGTGAGCTATGATGTACCACTGCATGCAGCGCCAGTGACAGAGCAAGACTCTGTCTAAAAAATAAACCCTCTTTTTTTTTTTTAGATGGAGTCTCACGCTGTTGCAGGCTGGAGTGCAGTGGCTGACCTCAACTCACTGCAACCTTCCGCCTCCTGGGTTCAAGCGATTCTCCTGCCTCAGTCTCCTGAGTAGCGTGGGACTAAAGGTGCGTACCACCACGCCCAGCTGCTTTCTTGTATTGTTAGTGAGATGGGGGTTTCACCACGTTGACGCAGATGGTCTCCTATCTCTGACCTTGTGATGATCTGCCGCCTCAGCCCTCCCACAAGTGCTGGATTACAGGCACCGAGCCACTGTGCCCGGCCAAAAATAAAAATTTTAATTAAAAAAGAAAGGATGCGGCAGGGAATGGTGGACTCTTGACTGTAATCCCAACACTTTGGAGGCCGACAGCGCAGATCACTTGAGGTCAGGAGTTCGAAACCAGCCTGGCCAACACGGTGAAACCCTATCTGTACTAAAAACACAAAAATTAGACAGGCATGGTGGCACATACCTGTAGTCCCAGATAGGTTTTTAGTAGAGATGGGGTTTCTCCATGTTGGTCAGGCTGGTCTCGAACTCCTGACCTCAGGTGATCTGCCCGCTTTAGCCTCCCAATGTGCTGGGATTACAGGTGTGAGCCAGCGCGCCTGGCCGACTCTGGATGTATTCTGAAGGTGGTGCTGTATTATTTGCTGGTGAACCCGCTGTGGGGAGTGAGGGAAGAGCAGAGTCAAAGATTGAGGTTCCAGAGTTGTAGGCCGGAACCTCTGGAAGATTAGGGCTGCCCTTTACTGAGATGGGAAAGGCAGGGAGGGAAAACCATGCTCCCTATGCCACGCCTATGAGATTTCCAGGTAGAGATGTTAGAATTGGCCTTGGATGTGCAAGTCCTGGGCTCAGGGGAGTGGTCCATGCTGGAGATGTCAATTTGCAAGTCACCCATGAATAGGTGGTATTAAATATTTAAAGCCACGAGCACACCAGGTGAGGTGGCTCACACTTGTAACCCCAACACTTTGGGAGGCCAAGGCCAGGAGTTTGAGAGCAGCCTGGGCAACATAGCAATATTCTTTTTTTTTTTTTTTTGTGGGGGACAGAGTCTTGCTCTGTTGCCAGGCTGGAGTGCAGTGGTGCGGTCTCAGCTCACTGTAGCCTCTACCTCCCGAGTTCAAGTGATTCTCCTGCCTCAGCCTCCCAAGTAGATGGGATTACAGGCATGCGCCACCACGCCTGGCTAATTTTTGTATTTTTAGTAGATATGGGATTTCACCATATTGGCCAGACTGGTCTTGAACTCCTGACCTCATGATCTGCCCACCTCTGCCTCCCAAAGTGCTGGGATTACAGGCATGTACCACTGCTGCCCAGCCGCAACATAGCAAGATTCTGTCTCTATAAAAAATTTAAAAATTAGCCGGGCATGGTAGCATGCGCCTGTAGTTGGGAGGATTGCTCCAGCCCGGGAGTTTAAGGGTGCAGTGAGCTGTGAACCACTGCACTCCAGCCTGGGCGAAAGACTGAGGCCCTGTCTCTAATACATAAATAAATAAAACCATGAGCTATGAGAAACCAAGACAGGGAGTCCACAGGCTGGAATGCTGGGGCTTACTGACTTTTAGAGGCCAGAGACCTGAGGAAAAACCAGCAGTGGATATTTTTGTTGAGTGAAGTAATGATGGATGGATGAATGGATGGATGGACTGGTGGGTGGATGGATGTGTGGATAGATGGATAGATGGATGGGTGGGTGGATAGGTGGGTGGATAGATGGGTGGATGGATGGGTGGGTGGGTGGATGGGTGGAAGGAGACATGGATGGATGGATGAATGGCTGGGTGGGTGGGTGGATGTGTGGGTGGATGGATGGATGGATGGATAGGTGGAGGGATGGATGGATGGGTTGGTGGAGGGACGGATGGATGAGTTTGTGGACAGATGTATGTACATATGTATGTACGTATGTATGGATGTATGTATGGATGAATAGATGGGTGGGTGGTTGGGTGGATGGATAGGTGGAGGGATGGATAGGTGGAGGGATGAGTGAGTGGATAGAGGGATGGGTGGATGGGTGGAAGGGCAGATGGGTACATGGATGGGTGGATGAGTGTATGGGTGGACGGGTGTATGGATGGATGGATAGATGGATAGATGAGTGGGTGGGTGGATGAGTGGGTGGATAGCTGGGTGGATGGGTGGATGGATGGATGGAAGGAAGGGTAGATGGGTGGATTAGTCCATGGATGGACAGATGGGTGGATGAATGGATGGATGAATAGATAGATGGATGGATGAGTAAATGGGTAGATGGGTAGATGGATGGGTGGATAAGTGTATGGATAGATGGGTGGGTGGGTGGGTAAATGGATGGGTGGATGGATGGACAGGTGGGTGGATAGGTGGGTGGATGGGTGGGTGGATGGATGGGTGGATAGGCAGACAGATGGATGGGTGGGTGGATGGATGGGTGGATGGGTGGATAGATGGATGGGTGTTTGGATGAACAGGTGGGTGGATGGGTGGGCGGATGGATGGGTGGGTGGATGGATGGATGGATGGATGGATGAATGGATAGACGGATGGATGGGGGGATGGGTAGATAGGTATATTGATGGGTGGATGAGTGTATGGATGGATGGGTGGATGGATGGACAGGTGGGTGGATAGGTGGGCGGATGGGTGGGTGGATGGATGGGTGGATAGATGGATGGATGGTTAGATGGACAGATGGGTGGGTGAATGGGTGGATAGATGGATGGATGGTTAGATGGACAGGTGGGTGGGTGGGTGGATAGATGGGTGGATGGGTGGATAGATGGATGGGCGGATGGGTGGATAGATGGATGGGCAGATGGGTGGATAGATGGATGGGCGGATGGGTGGATGGGTGGGTGGGTGGATGGATGAATGGATAGATGGACAGATGGATGGATGGATGGGTGGATGAGTAGATTGATGGGTGGATGAGTGTATGTATGGATGGGTGGGTGGGTAGATGCATAGGCGGTTGGATGGACAGGTGGGTGGATGGGTGGGCGGATGGATGGATGGATGGATGGATGGATAGACGGATGGATGGGTGGATGGGTAGATAGGTAGATTGATGGGTGGAAGAGCGTATGGATGGGTGGGTGGGTGGGTGAGCAGATGGATGGGTGGATGGATGGACAGGTGGGTGGATAGATGGTTGGATGGGTGGATAGATGGATGGGTGGATGGGTAGACGGGTGGAGGGATGGATGGATATCCTTTGCCACCACTGTAGGGCAGGCTGTGCCACCCCACCCTGGACTATTACAGCAACCCTCTTGTGCATCTCCTTGAATTGCACCGCTCACTCTCTCCTAATCCATCCTCCATAAGTCCTCAGTGCTGCCCTCTCCTACCAGACATTCTGGTTGTCCTGTCCTCTGCATGAAAGGCCTCACCCTCCTCTCTGTTCTATTCTTTGCCTGGTAAAATGTTTTTTGCCCTTTGTTGTTCTCTGGGAAGCTCTCCCTGAGCGTACCTCCACCAGCTTTCTCTTTCCCTCCCAGCTCCTTCTGGGATCACAAGGATCCTTGTGTGCAAACCCACATATGCTCCAGTCTGCACAGTGAGCTCCATTCACACTCTCCACGAACAGCTGTCGCCACGTTTCTGGCTTAGAGGTGTGCACACTCAGCACGGGGCCCACTCTCAGGAGGACAGCACAGGCCTGAGGCTGAGTGAGCCCTGGTACCCAGGGCATGGTCCAGAGGTAGAGATGTGGGCTGCAGGTGAGCGCATTCCCGGGCCCCATGGATTTCTGGCCTCAAGGGGAGGAGGAAGGGCCAGAATGGGAATGGGTGCATCTGAGTAAGGGTGGTGCTGAACCTGCTGCTGGGTGTCACCTGCATTTCTCAAACCAAATGATGCCTTACATGGGCCACCCATGAGAGCTAGTCTTCCTCAGAGGGGACAGTTTCAGAGGAAAATGGTTACCCTTGACTGTCTTCTGACTTCTCTTAGGTAAGCCACCTTTCCTATCTGTCTCTCTCTCTCTCTCTCTCTCTCTCTCTCTCTCGACAGGGTCTTGCTCACTTACCCAGGCTGGAGTGCAGTGGCGCAATCATAGCTCACTGCCACCTTGAACTCCCAGGCTCAAGCGATCCTCCCACCTCAGCCTCCTGAGTAGCTGGGACCACAGGCATGCACCACCACTCTTGAGTAATTTTTTTTTGTCGTTGTTGCCATGGGGGTCTCACAGTGTTGTCCAGGTGGGTCTCCAATTCCTGGCCTCATTGTTAAAGAATAAGCCAAACTTGGAGAAAGATCGATGCCCCAGAAGCCGGCTGCAGGGGCTTTTGGTTGGCAACCTCTCAAATACACTGTGGGTGGTGGAGGTTCCCTGAAGCAGAGCCCGGATCCTCATCCAGGCCAGGGAGTTGAAGGCAGATTAAATCGATACGAAGGAAGCTAAGACACAGTTTCCTTTAAAGGTTTTCATTTATTAGTCATTTCTGAAGCAGTTAATTCTCTTTTCTTGTTAAAAAAAAAAAGGTGTGTTTCATCCAGAGTTATATCAGAGTGATTAAAATGACTTTTCTACTGGGGATACAGCTCCCCCAATCAGAAAAAAAAATTTCTCTTTTTTTCAATGAACCACAAAAATAAAACCAAAAGAGAACATCAACAATCAAAAATAATCCCCAAATATCCAGGACAAAAAATAAAATATTTATTGATCTATCACAGCGAGACACAAAAAGATGGGCGGGGCAGGAGTGGGAACTGCTCTGAAGTTCAGTGGACCGAGGGAGGGATGAGGGGGATACAGTACTGCATGTGGGGACACCCCAGGTGGGGAGGAGATGCCTAGCACCCCAGTCTGCACAGCCCTGCACACCCTGGGGGAGTGTAGGATGGGGGTGGAGGCAGGGCACAGGCTGCCATGACAGGTCAACCAGGTTGATGGTGGGTGCACCCAGCCAGCTAGTGGTGCCGGGCGGTCAATGGGGACATGGATGGATGGACGGATGGGTGAATGGACGGATGGGCGGATGGATTCCACAAGAGCAAGGTGGCTATTCCCAGTGTGGGGTGGTTTTCCAACCCAAAGGTGCCCCAGATGTGGGGAACAGCGATCGGTGGGGAGGAGACGGCCAAGTGGACGCAGGAGAGGAGGGATGCTATGGGCGAATCCAGCTTTGAGGCTTCAGGTGCTTGGGTACCAACTGGACGGCAGCCAAGGGTGGGTCCTGGTGGGCAGGGGGAGCTGGGACTGCCCAGGAAGTGTCTGCACCATCTTTAGAGGAGTCCCAGGGAGGGGGTTCCCCGAGGGGCCATCCTTCCCTCCTCCCTCCCCCCAGGAAGATAAGAGCACCAGCGTGTAGCACCAAGTTTCCCTGGAGATGGAGGCTGTGTGGAGGGGGAGCTCCTAGGTGGGAAGGGATGGGGTCGGGGGCCAGGACCACACAGCCCTTGCCTCTGAAGTAGGGGGCCTCCTGGTCGGGGCACTTGGCCGCTCCCCTCTTATTTCCTTGCCCTGTGGATCTGCAAGGCCGCCCGGCCTGCCCGTTCCCTCCTGGGGTGGGGAGTCGGAGGGGCATGGGATGGGGTTACAAAGGGTTTACATTCTCCACCAAGCAGTAGCACCAACGTTGATGAGGTCGTGAGTCAGGGGTCCTGGGAAGCTCATTTTCTCTTCCGGCCACAAGATTTCCCCAGGCAGGCCGCACCTGGATGGGAGGAGGTGCACATCACCATGAGTCCGGCCCCTCTCAGTTTCAGCTTTAATCCCCGCCTGCTCTGACCCACTCGGATGGAGGCTCCAAGAAGTCACCAGAAGCCAAGCCGCGGCCCCAGGCCAAACTCACACCTGATCCATGCCATCAACTTCCACTGGACAGATGGGGCCGGAGAAGCCCACAAGATATTACTTGGATGAAACCAACACTTGCAGAAAAGGGGGCAGGTCATGGGGCCTGGCTGGGGAAGGACTGGGCCTGGCACTGGCTCCTGGCTCCACTGCTCCAAGAAGCCTTTCAGGGAAAGGCTAAGGGCAGCTCCATCAAGGAACATGGGATGAAGGGAGAGTCAGTGTCTGCAGGAGATGGCTCTCTTAGGGAGTGGGGTGGACCCATACATCTGAGAGGGCATCAGATAAGTAAATCAAGGCCCAGTAGAGGGAGAGAGGGTCTTATCCACATAGTGTCTGAGCTGGGACCCAAACCCAGATTCCTACACCTCCTGGGAATGGTCTGATGGGTGAACCCTGTTTCAAGGCATCAGTCTATGTTAGGTAAGGCATCATTGTCTAGTAGCGGCCCGGAGTAGTTCCTACCCCGGCTGGAGCCAGATATGGCTCCTTACCGCCACCTGGTGGCAGTGAGCAGAGAGTAGGGCAGGAACAGACATCTGCCTCTGACGTTTTTGTTTTTTGTTTTGAGACGCAATTGTCTTGCTCTGTCGTCACCCAGGCTGGAGGGCAGTGGTGTGGTCTCAGCTCACTGCAACCTCCACCTCCTGGGTTCAAGCACTTCTCCTGTCTCAGCCTCCAGAGTAGCTGGGATTACAGGCGCACACCACCACACCCGGCTAATTTTTGTATTTTTAGTAGAGACGGGGTTTTGCCATGTTGACCAGGCTGGGGTCTCAAACTCCTGATCTCAGGTGACCCACCTGTCTCAGCCTCCCAAAGTGTTGGGATTATAGGCATGAGCCACTACACCCAGCCCTCTCTCTGAAGTTTGTCACCTGGTTTGGGAAATGCCATGATAGGGCCACAAGCAAGACTGTCGCCCTGTTGAAAGCTGGGCACCCTGGAAACGGTCAGTTTGGTTTTGCCTCTGCCCCTCCCACCCTGGCCTCAGCTGTCTCATCTGTGCAATGGGGAACAGGACTGTGTGGAAGGGAATTCACAGTCCTGAGTAACCACAGGGGCACAGCTGTGACTTCTCTGGGACTCCTTTTGGTATCATATGGAGGACCTTGCAGGGAGGTAAAAGAACCGCCCACACCCTCCCCAGAGGTGGATCGGCATATTTTACTTTTGAGGCAGGATCTTGCTCTATTGTCCAGGCTGCAGTGTGGTGGCACAATCACAGCTCACTGCATCCTTGAACTCCTGGGCTCAAGCAATCCTCTCACCTCAGCCTCCAGAGTACCTGAGACTACAGATGTGCACCACCACACCCAGCTAATTTTTAAAATTTCTGTAGAGACAGGGTCTCACTCTGTTGCCTAGTCTGGTCTCAAATTCCTGGGCTCACGCGATTTTCACGCCCCGGCCTCCCGAAGTACTAGGATTACAGGCATGAGCCATCGCGCCTGGCTAGGTCTGCATCTTTTTTTTCTTTTTTGAGATGGATTTTCGCCCTTGTTGATCAGGGTGGAGTGCAATGGCATGATCTCGGCTCACTGCAACCTCTGCCTCCCCAGTTCAAGAGATTCTCCTGCCTCAGCCTCCAAAGTAACTGGAATTACAGGTGTCCACCACCATGCCTGGCTAAGTTTTTCTATTTTCAGTAGAGACGGGGTTTCACCATGTTGGCCAGGCTGGTCTTGAACTCCTGACCTCAGGTGATTCACCCGCCTTGGCCTCCCAAAGTGCTGGGATTACAGGCATGAGCCACCACGCCTGGCCAGGTCTGCATCTTTGTGAAGGAATGTGGCTTAGCCCTAGGTGGTAGCTTCAGCCCTTGCTGCCCAGCCCAGGGCACCTTGCGCGCCCCATGCCCACACCCTCTGGTTTCCCTGACTCTGCGGCTCCAGTGGTCCCAGCCCTTCTCCTTCCCTTCTCCTCCAATGTTTTCCTTCTCTTTTCCAGTTGACTTCCTGTAGCAGGCTAAGGGACTTTGGGAGGGACAGCCAGGCCTGGCCCGGGGTGAGCTTGGAGGGCCCTGAGTCCACACGCAGCTCTGAATATCTGTGTGGGAGGTAGGAGGGATGGGCAGGAGGTATCCATCCCCCTTCCCTAACCTCCCTGCTCCAGAACCCAGGCTGGTGGACCATCCCTCCCCCTCTGTCTCTGCCCCTCCTGCCCTGCCTCTTTAGGGGGCTGAATCTCTACTCACCTTGGTATCCCAGGGCTCCTAGGGCCCCTCCAAAGGGCTTGGGGGGTTTTCCTGTGGATGGGGAGGACAGGATGGAGGAGGGAGCTGGGCTTTCCTGCCTCTCCCAGCCCCTTCACCTTGGACCTGGCCTCCATTCTGTCTCAGCAGGTTCGAGTCCTTCCTGCCTCCAGCCTGCCCCTCAGCCCCACCCAGCCTGTCCCCCTCTGTCCAGCTATGCTCCTATGCTCCTTGCAAATCACAGATGCATCCTGTCTGTGGAGACCTCAGCGACTCAGCAGGTGCCCCACCCACCCCACCCCAGTCAGCCCTGACACATTTCCCAGTTTTGGCCTTGCCCACGTGACCACTCAGCTTCCCCTCCCAGCCCACCCTGCTTGCCCTGACCTTATTCTTCCCTTACACAGCTTATTTTTCTTTCTTTTTGAAATATTTTAGGCTGGGCATGGTGGCTCATGCCTGTAATCCCAGCACTTTGGGAGGCTGAGGCGGGGGGATCACTTGAGGTCAGGAGGTTCGACACCAGCCTGGCCAACATGGTGAAACCCTATCTCTACTAAAAATACAAAAATTAGCCAGGTGTGGTGGTGGGCGCCTGTAATCCCAGCTACTCAGGAGGCTGAGACAGGAGAATCGCTTGAACCCAGGAGGCGGAGGCTGCAGTGAGCTGAGATCATACCATTGTACTACAGCCTGGGCAATGGAGCAAGACTCCATCTCAAAAAAAAAAAAAGAAAGAAATGTTTTGTAGACATGGGGTCTTGCTATGTTGCCCAGGCTGGTCTCGAATTCCTGGCCTCAAGCGATCCTCCTGCCTCAGCCTCCCAAAGTGCTGGGATTACAAGCATGAGCCACCACACCAGTCTTTATTTCCCTTTCTATGGGACCTTGTCAATCTCTTCAGTTAGACAGTAAACTCCAGGGTGACTCAGGTCCCTGTCTGCCTCTGGGGGCCTCGTCAAGGGCCAGGCCAGGAGCCCCAGGAATCAGGATCCTTGGCTCCTCTCCCCACAGCCTAGCACTGGAGTTCCAGCTTCCATGATTCCCCTGTGGGCTCCCTGAACCCCCCACGCCAGGGGGCTAGCCCAGGTCCATGGTCATTCCAGTCACCCCATGAAGGCCAGGCCTGGCCCGGGGTGAGCTTGGAGGGCCCTGAGTCCACACGCAGCTCTGAATATCTGTGTGGGAGGTAGGAGGGATGGGCAGGAGGTATCCATCCCCCTTCCCTAACCTCCCTGCTCCAGAACCCAGGCTGGTGGACCATCCCTCCCCCTCTGTCTCTGCCCCTCCTGCCCTGCCTCTTTAGGGGGCTGAATCTCTACTCACCTTGGTATCCCAGGGCTCCTAGGGCCCCTCCAAAGGGCTTGGGGGGTTTTCCTGTGGATGGGGAGGACAGGATGGAGGAGGGAGCTGGGCTTTCCTGCCTCTCCCAGCCCCTTCACCTTGGACCTGGCCTCCATTCTGTCTCAGCAGGTTCGAGTCCTTCCTGCCTCCAGCCTGCCCCTCAGCCCCACCCAGCCTGTCCCCCTCTGTCCAGCTATGCTCCTATGCTCCTTGCAAATCACAGATGCATCCTGTCTGTGGAGACCTCAGCGACTCAGCAGGTGCCCCACACCACCCCACCCCAGTCAGCCCTGACACATTTCCCAGTTTTGGAGGGCAGTGGTGTGGTCTCAGCTCACTGCAACCTCCACCTCCTGGGTTCAAGCACTTCTCCTGTCTCAGCCTCCAGAGTAGCTGGGATTACAGGCGCACACCACCACACCCGGCTAATTTTTGTATTTTTAGTAGAGACGGGGTTTTGCCATGTTGACCAGGCTGGGGTCTCAAACTCCTGATCTCAGGTGACCCACCTGTCTCAGCCTCCCAAGATTACAGGCGTGAGCCACCACACCTGGTCATGAACTGTTTTTAAAAACTGAATGTTCCCTGTTTTTGTAAGAGGTCAGCAAGAAGGAGGGGAGGCTCTATGTTCAGCTCGGGGTCCAGCCTCATGTGACCTGAGGCTGTGGGGTCCACCCGTGGGTGCTGGCTCAGCCCTTCTGAGCAGGAGATGACGCAGGAGAGGAGGGAGGAGGTGGCTGGAGCTCTAGGGCAGGGCCCAGGGGCAGGGAGCCTGGCGTACCTGGGAAAATGGGAGACAATCCGAAGCCGGGTCTCGCTGCCACTCCTGCAGGAGAGATTTTGGGTTGGTAGGTTAGTAGGGGTGGGAACTGGCTCTAGCCTTATCACTCTCTGCCTGCACCGGCTCACCCAAGACCCTCTGTCTGGGATCATCTCCTCTCCATCCCCCTACTATATAATTTTTTATATTTTATTTTATTATTATTTTTTTGAGACAGGGTCTTGCTCTGTCGCCCAGGCTGGAGTGCAGTGGTGCGATCTTGGCTCACTGTAAGCTCTGCTTCCCAGGCTCCAGTGATTCTCCTGCCTCAGCCTCCCAAGTAGCTGGGATTACAGGTGCCCACCACGTCTGGCTAATTTTTGCTTTTTTTTTTTTTTTTAGTAGAGACTGGGTTTCACCATGTTGACCAGACTGGTCTTGAACTCCTGACCTCAAGTGATCCGCCCACCTAGGCTTCGCAAAGTGCTGGGATTACAGGCGTGAGCCACTGCGCCCAGCCAATCTCCCCTATTATAGCCAGAGCAGCTTTCTCAACACAACATGCCCCCACCTAGCAACCAGGTGTGGCACCCCGTGGCCTCAACCCTGAGCTCAGCCTGGCACTGTCCCCAACCTTACAGCTTGCCCCTTTGCCCAGTACATCTGTGGTCCTAGAGTACTCTCTCCAGTCCCAGTCTCCTGTCCTCGTGTGGACATGGGCTCCGGGAGTCCCCACTGATAGACAGACAGCCCTCTCTAGATCTGGACAGAGCTGAGGACTACATAGCAGAGCTGGCCACCCCTACCTCCAAGTGGGAACTGCCCGGCACCCCCTAGGACACCTCCAAGGCCAGCAGCACCTGAGAAGAGGCAGGTGGGGTCAGGACAAGCACCCCCATCTGGAAGAGGCCCTGATATCCCTGCTGGGTTCTGGGGTAAGGGATGTCCCAGACAAGATCTTCAGGGGTACGGGGAGCCAAAGGGAGGCCTGAGCTGGGCTGGGGGAGGGTGGTGATGGGCATAGCAGGGGGTACAGGCCACTGGCAGGAAGGCCTCAGAGGGGAACTCACCGTATTTAGCTGCTTTGGCGGCTGCAGCTGGAGACACACCTGGGGAGATGAGGCACATGATGGCTCAGGAATGCCACCTGTCAGGCCCTGTCTCCTTTTTTTTTCTTTGAGGCAGTCTTGCTCTGTCGCCCAGGCTGGAGTGCAGTGGCCGGATCTCAGCTCACCGCAAGCTCCACCTCCCAGGTTTACACCATTCTCCTGCCTCAGCCTCCCGAGTAGCTGGGACTACAGGTGCCCGCCACCGTGCCCGGCTAATTTTTTTGTATTTTTAGTAGAGACGGAGTTTCACCGAGTTACCCAGGATGGTCTCGATCTCCTGACCTCGTGATCCACCCGCCTTGGCCTCCCAAAGTGCTGGGATTATAGGCGTGAGCCACCACTCTTGGCCAGGGAAAGCAATTTCTCTCCAAGCTTTGATTTCTTTCTTGGAGAATGGGCAACTCCCACCGCAGTGGTCATGTGGGTTGAAAGAGAGAGGAGAGGGAGAGGATTGGGACCCTGGCAGCCAGGGATAGCCCCAGCTCCCGTTTGCCACATTTTTTGTTTTTATTTTGTTTTGAGATGAGGTCTTGCTCTGTTGCCCAGGCTGGAGTGCAGCAGCGCGATCTCGGCTCACTGCAACCTCCGCCTCCTGGGTTCAAGCGATTCTCCTGTCTCAGGCTCCTGAGTAGCTGGGATTACAGGCATGCATCACCATGCCCGGCTCATTTTTATATTTTTAGTAGAGACATTGGTGGAGTTGCTGGAGCCTATGTTGGCCAGGCTGGTCTCGAACTCCTGACCTCAGGTGATCCACCCACCTCTGCCTCCCAAAGTGCTGGGATTATAGGCATGAGCCACCATACCTGGCCTCTTTTCTTTTTTCTTTTTTTTTTTTTATAACAGGGTCTCACTTTTGCTGTACAGGCTGGAATGCAGTGGTACCATCTCAGCTCACTGCAGCCTCCGCCTCCTGGGCTCAAGAGATCCTCTGGCCTCAGCCTCCCAAGTAGCTGGGAATACAGGCGCCCACCACCACGCCCGGCTAACTTTTGTATTTTTGGTAAAGGTGAGGTTTCACCATGTCACACAGGCTGGTCTCAAACTCCTGACCTCAGGTGATCCACCCGCCTTGGCCTACTAGAGTGCTGGGACTGTAGGTGTGAGCCACCACACCTGGCCGAGAGGACGTCTTGAGCAAAGATGTGGCAGGGCTGGGAAAGAAAGTCTCTGTCTCTGTCTCCATCTCTGTCTCTCATACACACACTCCACGCACTCACTGATTTCAGAACAACTCTTACCTCCAAGGCCCCCAACACCTGGGACGACTCCAAGCCCTCCGACTCCGAGTCCTCCGACTCCGAGTCCAGCAGGTCCCCCTAGGCCTGTGGAGAGAGCTCAGCATTGGACTCTGCCGGTCAGAAAGGTGGGACTGAAGCCTCAGCCTGCGGAGGGTGGAGGTGCCCTCTGGGGACCCAGGTGGAGCCTGAGCTCTCCCGGCCTTCGATGGCACAGTGGAGCCAGGAGGTGTCTGGGGCAGGAAGTCTGAGTCTACAGTGCCTGGTCAGAGGCTCCTCCCACACCCTGGGGGCCTGGGGGTCTGGCAGCAGCTCCCACCTCCACCCAGTGCTCACCAAACTGGGCGGCTTTGGCAGCAGCTTTGGCTGCAGCAGCAGCGGCGGCGGGTCCGGCTCCTGGGAATACAGACCGAGTTCAGGGAGGGACTCAGTACTGATTAGCCTCTCTCCCCAGCCAGCCCCTCCGGGGGTTTCAACTCACCCACCACACCGCCTGGGATGCCTACTCCACCAAGAGCCCCGACCCCTCCAAGGGCCCCAGGCACTCCTGCTCCTGCGTGGAGAGGAAAGAAGATGAGTGGCCCATTTCTGAACAATGGGTCTCCCTGCCCCAGGAACAACAACACAAGCAGACAGGTGGCAGGGGCCATGTGACACAGGGGAGGAGCAGCGGACAGGAAGTCCAGTCCTTGTTTTGTTTTGTTTTGAGATGGGGTTTTGCTCTGTCACCCTGGCTGGGGTGCAGTAGTACAATCATAGTTCATTGCAGCCTCCGACTCCTGGGCTCAAGCGATCCTCCTGCCTTAGCCTCCTGAAGGTGTGAGCCGCTGTGCCTAGCCTTAAAAGTTCTTTTGTAGGCCGGGTGCGGTGGCTCACGCCTGTAATCCCAGCACTTTGGGAGGCTGAGACTAGTGGATCACCTGAGGTCAGGAGTTTGAGACCAGCCTGGCCAACATGGTGAAACCCGGTCTCTACTAAAAATACAAAAATTAGCCAGGCGTGGTGGTGCGTGCCTGCAATCCCAGCTATTTGGAAGACTGAGGCAGGAGGATCGCTTGAACCTGGGAGGTGGAGGCTGCAGTGAGCTGAGATCGTACCACTGCACTCCAGCCTGGGCGACAGAGCAAGACTCTGTCAAAACAAACAAACAAACAATGGCAATAGTATCTACAGCAGGCACTTAACATTCTGAGTGCTTCACACTTAGCAGCCCATTTTTTATGCGTTGCAGCAGGAAAGGTAGGCACTATTGTCATTCCCATTTTGCAGATGAGAATGCTGAGGTAGAGCAGAGGTTAAGCAGTGTGCTCAGGGCTTCAGGGACAGGAAGTGGCTGGGGAGCCTGCGCCCTTCGTGGCTCCACCACGTGACGTCACTCTGTTTCCCTGGCAATGTCTGTTGACTCAGGCCTGCCAAGCAGTCAGCAGTGAGCAGGGGAGGAGGCAGGGCCGCTGGGGGTCAGGGCTGAAGAAGCCAGGATTTTCCGAGGTAGAAACTGGCCCCAAGTGGACCTGCCCGGTCGGTTGGTGGATCCCTGGGGGAGTCTTCTACCTCCCTCTAACTCTGCTCACAGGAGGCCAGGAATGCAGGGGCTACAGACAGCGTGGGTCTGGCCAGGTGGGGCTGCCAGAGCGCCAAGCGCAGAGGCTGTGGGACTGCCACGTCCTCTGGGCTGGCTCGTGGCGGGAGCAGTCCTGCTGGCAGGACAGGAAGGCAGGCGGGGGGCCGGGGGTGCCCAGATGAGGAATACCAGTTCCTCTGCTCGGGCCAGAGAGCTGGGGTGGAGGCAGAGACTGTCCAGACTCCTCATACCCACAGCAGGCCCAGCCCCTTCCTGGACGTAGGGACTATGAAACTGTCAGGGTCAGAGCGGGCTTAGGGACGGTGGAATTACCTCCTGGGGGGCAACTGGGATTTCAAGGGTGTTTTTGATGGTCACAGGGGTTGAAGGCACCACAAGCATTTAGTGGGCAGGGGCCAGGTTTTTAAACTGTCATAAATGTGTCCTAGAAACTGCCTTTTTTTTTTTTTTTGGAGACAGAGTCTTGCTCTGTCGTTCAGGTTGGAGTGCAGTGGTGTGATCTCGGCTCACTGCAGCCTCCATCTCCTGGGTTCAAGTGATTCTCCTGCCTCAGCCTCCCCAGTAGCTGGGATTATAGGTGCGCACCACCACGCCTGGCTAATTTTTGTATTTTTAGTGGAAATAGGGTTTAACCATATTGGTGAGGCTGGTCTGGAACTCCTGACCTCAGGTGATCTGCCCGCCTCGGCCTCCCAAAGTACTGGGATTATAGACGTGAGCCAACATGCCCGGCCGAAACTGCCTTTTTCTATCGTGACCACCCGAGTCCTGTGCTGTCAGGGATGGTGTGGTGGCAAGGGAGCCACAAGTGGTTGTGGGGTGCACTCACCATATTTGGCTGCTTTAGCGGCAGCCAGGGCTCCAGGTACTGGGGAGAAAGAAAAGTCGGGGGGTGGTCAGCAGCCGAACTCTGTACCTGGGAGTTGTACTGCCTCCTCTAGGAAGCCCTCCCTGACCTCCTTGGCCTTTTGCTTCCTCAAAGCCCTGAAGCTGTACAGGCACAGAGCTTTAGGGCTGAACAGTGCCTCTGCCTTCCATCTGGCCCCTCCTTCTCTCCTCAGGCCTAGCATGGCCTGCCTGAGGCTGAGGACAGAGTGGGGCTCAGTAACCAGCTGGTGAAGATCTGGAGTTCCTAGTGGCCCCCTGGCCACAGAGCACTGCTGAAGGGGAGCAACGCTGATCTACCTGCTCCTTCCCTGGGTGGAGGGCGAGCTTTTTCTCAGTCTGCAGCCCTGCCACCCCTCTACTGAGGAGGCAGATACTCTGCAATTGGGCAGCCTGGGGTCTCTTGGTCTGGTCTGCCCTCCTCCCGCTGTCCGTTACCCCCAGATACTTAGGAGAACCTAACGAGGATTTTACTATGCACCCCTGGGTGGTGAGGGGGTGCTGGGGAGGTGCTGGGAGTAGGAGGGATCTCGTTCCCTGAGCTCAGGGGACAGGCTCCGCCTAACCCCTAGAAGCCCCCCTCACCCGCACCTGCCCCGAAGCCAGGAACACCAGCACCAACTCCAAGTCCAGGGACGCCGACACCAACTCCAAGTCCAGGAACAGCACCAACTCCAAGTCCAGGAACAGCACCAAGCCCAGCTGCAGCTCCTGCAGACAGAGGGCAGTGGTGGCGACAGCAGGCAGGGAGCATGCCCCTGAGGAGGTGTCCTGCCCAGGGAGCTGAAACTAGTCCCAAAGGAAAGGGCCCAGATCCAAGCAGCAGCCTCTGCCCTGGCCGTTGCTCCTAACCAGCTCTGGGCTCGCTGGGGAGAGGAGAGAAAGGTGGGCGAGGCACTCACGGAGCTGGGCTTTGGCGGCTGCCTTGGCAGCAGATTTCGCTGCCGCTGGGGCTCCCACTCCTGGAGGAAGAGAGAGGGGATTAGAGATGGAGGTGGGGCCAATGGAGGCTTCGGGGGCCCCTCAGGCTCACTGACTCATGAAACTCACCTGCAACTCCACCAGGGCCGATGCCAACGCCAGGAGCCACGCCAACGCCAGGAGCCACACCAACACCAGGAGCCACGCCAACGCCAGGAGCCACGCCAACGCCAGGAGCCACGCCAACGCCAGGAGCCACGCCAACTCCAGGAGCCACGCCAACGCCAGGAGCCACGCCGACACCAGGAACTAACCCTGTAAGATTGAGAAGAGCTGATCATTAACCAAGGCCCAATCAAAGAGGACAGAAGCTTATGGAAAGAGGGCTGGAGCCTCGGCCCTGGCATAGATTTGCTGTGTGACCATGGATCAGTTACTTTCCCTTGCTGGGCCTCAGCTTGCTCATCCCTAAAATGAAGTGTGCGCAGGCTCAGGAGTTCATAACCTTGTTTTTTGGAGACAGAGTCTCACTCTGTCATCCAGGCTGGAGTGCAATGGTGCGATCTCAGCTCACTGCAACCACCAACTCCTGAGTTCAAGCAAGTCTCCTGCCTCAGCCTCCTGAGTAGCTGGGACTACAGGTGCGCACCACCACGCCCGGCTAATTTTTTTGTATTTTTAGTAGAGACAAGGTTTCACCGTGTTGGCCAGGCTGGTCTTGAACTCCTGACCTCGGGTGATCCACCTGCCTCGACCTCCCAAAGCGCTGGGATTATAGCTGTGAGCTGCTGCATCTGGCCAGGAGTTCTTAACCTTTTCAGGGACAAGGACCCCTTGGAGATTTGAGGCTGATGGAGGCAGATTTACATTATATAAGGGGCTTTGTAAGACAGAAAGGCTTTGGGTTTAAACCTCAGCTCAGCCACCGTTTAGCTGTGCAACTGTAGGCAAGTTACTTAAGCTCTGGGAACCTCAGTTTCCACATCTGTAAAAGGGAAAAATAAACTCAACTCTATAAGATTGTTTGTAGGCCAGGCACGTTGGCTCATGCCTGTCATCCCAGCACTTTGAGAGGCCAATGTGAGAGGATTGCCTACAAATTTTTTTTCTTTTTTTTTTTTTTTTGAGACGGAGTCTCGCTCTGTCGCCCAGGCTGGAGTGCAGTGGCCGGATCTTGGCTCACTGCAAGCTCCGCCTCCCACGTTCACGCCATTCTCCTGCCTCAGCCTCCCAGTAGCTGGGATTACAGGCGCCTGCCACCTCGCCTGGCTAGTTTTTTGTATTTTTTAGTAGAGACGGGGTTTCACCGGGTTAGCCAGGATGGTCTCGATCTCCTGACCTCGTGATCCACCTGTCTCAGCCTCCCAAAGTGCTGGGATTACAGGCTTGAGCCACCGTGCCCGGCCTCTTTTTTTTTTTAAACTGGGCATGGTGGCACGTGCCTGTAGCCCCAGCTACTAGGGATACTAAGGGGGAAGAATCGCTTAAGTCAGGAGTTTGAGGCCTGTAGTGAGCTATGACAGCATCACTGCACTCCAGCCTGGGCGACGATGTGAGACCCTGTCTCAAATAAACATGTAATAAAGATTGCTGTGTGTGAGAATTTGGGGCTCAGCAGGCCTGCAATTGAAATGCTGTCTGGCCTATTCAGCCTTAGAGATTTTGATCTGAACCTTTTAGCCCACAGGTCCCTAGTGCCAAGGCCTACAGACCCCATGCCCAGGGCCTGATATACAGTTGAGCTCTACAGTTAGTGCTGCTACAATTTGCCGTGTTCAGAAAAGTGTGGGCACCTGGGGCTACCAGGGTGGCCCTCAAATATAGCAAAAGATGGGGAACAAGAAGTACTGCAGGCTGGGCGTGGTGGCTCAAGCCTGTAATCCCAGCACTTTGGGAGGCAGAGGTGTGAGGATCGCTTGAGCCCAGGAGTTTGATACCAGCCTGATCACCATAGTGAGACCTCTGTTGCTACAAAAAAATTAAAAAATGAGCCAGGCATGGTGGTGGGCACCTGTGGTCGCTGCTTGGGAGTTGGACGCAGGCAGATTGCTTGAGCCTGGCAGGTTGAGGCTGCAGTGAGCTATGATTGTGGCACTGTACCCCAGCCTGGGTGACAGAGCTAGACCCTATCTCAAGAAGAAGAAAGAAGAAGAAGGAGAAGGAGAAGAAAGAAGAAGGAGAAGAAGAAGGAGGAAAAGGAGGAGAAGAAAGGAGGAGGAAAAGGAGAAGAAGGAGGAGAAAGAAGAAGAAGGAGAGAAGGAGAAGGAGGAGGAGGAGAAGAAGAAGAAGAAGGAGAAGAAGAAGAAGAAGAAAGAAGAAGGAGAAGAAGGGAGAAGAAGCAGGAGGAGGAGAAGGAGAAGGAAAATAAGCAGGAGGAGAAGAAGAAGAAAGAAAAAGAAGAGGAAGGAGAAGAAGAACGAGAAGAAGGAGGAGGAGGGAGAAGGGGAAGGAGGAGGAGAAGAAAAGAAGAAGAAGGAAGAGGAGGAGGAGGAGCACAAGAAGGAGAAGGAGAAAGAGAAGGAGAAGGGGGAGAACTGGAGTCCGTCACAGGGGAGCTGGAGCTCAGCATGAGGTCAGGTCCCTAATAGCCTGGGAGGCACCAGGGACTTTAGGAACAGGGAGGCTCACACTGCTCACCCTGCTTCCCTAATCAGAAACGTCACCCACACTCCTAGAGGTCATCAGTGGACCAAAAGCTCTAAGGAGGGCCCACCCCAGAACGTGGCAGCCTAAGGGGGGTGGAAAGGAACAGGGAGCTGGGCGGTCAGATCCCAGAGCAGGGCACATGAGAAGGCAGCGCTCCGTGAGCCAATGGCGGGGGTGAGGGGGACTTACCAAACTGGGCGGCTTTGGCGGCTGCTTTAGCAGCTGCAGCTGCTGGGGTCCCCACTCCTAGAGGTGTGAAGAGAAGGGGTGAGGGAGTCCATCTCTACTCAAAACACAAAATCTCTCGCACCCCTCCCTGCTTCCCATCTCTAGGCTCAGTCTTCCCGTTTGTAAAATGGTGCAGTCGACCTTGGTCGACTCCAGGGACCCTTCCGTGAGACAAACTAAACCGGTCTCTGGGCTGGAGAACACAGCTCACCTGGCACTCCTCCCACGCCCGGCACACCTGGGACTACGCCTCCGGCACCTGGCACCAACCCACCCAGCACTCCTGCTCCTGCAGCACCTGGGGGAGTGGAGAACTTTCAGCCTCGCCCCTCCCAGTGCTCACTTCTTGGGGGAGCATGGGTGGGTGGGAGAATCGGGGGAAGAAGAGAACGGCTTCCTGGCACCTTCATTTCTTTTTATTTATTTATTTTTATTTTTGGAGTCGGAGTCTCCCTCTGTCACCCAGGCTGGAGTGCAATGGTGTAATCTCTGCTCACTGCAGCCTCTACCTCCCAGGTTCAAGTCATTCTCCTGCCTCAGCATCCCAAGTAGCTGGGACTATAGGTGCCTGCCACCATGCCCAGCTAATTTTTGTATTTTTCAGTAGAGACACGGTTTCCCCATGTTGGCCAGGCTGGTCTCAAACCCCTGGCCTCAAGGGATCCACCTGCCTCGGCCTCCCAAAGTGCTGGGATTACAGGTATGAGCCACCCAGCCTGGCCAGGCACCTTCGGTTCTGGGGGTGGGGGTGGGGTGATGAGCAGGTCACCAACAGTCCTAACAGGAAGCATCTGAAAAGGACAGTAAGAGTGGAGTGTGGCTTTGGAAGATGGGGCAGGGGCCTCGTGACCTTGGTCCAGGCCATTTCAGTCCCGGAGGCCTGGGAGTCAGTTTGCCCTGAGGTTGGTCCTTGAGCCCCACAGGAAAGCAGGGCTTGGGGTCAGGCAGGGCAGGGGCACTTACCGTACTTGGCAGCCTTGGCGGCAGCTGCTGCCTGAGCTTCAGCTACAAGGAAACGAGAAAGAAAGAGACCCTCAGAAGCCTTGCCTGGGTCTCCTCCGAGCCGTGTTTAAAGCTCTTCTGCCCTGTAAGGCATGGACGACCTCGCTTCTCCCCCAACTCTTCCCTGAGCACATTCAAGCCCGATCTGCAGTCCCCACTGCCCCTGCAGAGCTGAGCAGACAAGAAGCCCCCATCTCTTCTCAACCCATGTCCCCAGATGTGACGAAGGCTCACGGGAAATGCCAACTCCCGGGACACCTCCGACTCCGGGAACACCTCCGACTCCGGGGATGCCTCCGACTCCGACACCATAGCCGGGAAAGCCCCCAGCTCCAACCCCAAAAGTAGGAATGCCTCCAACTCCGACTCCGGCCCTGGCCCCTGCAGAGGGAAGGGAGCCAAATGGAAAGGAAGCTCAGTGAGAGAGGCTGGGCAGGCTCTGAGGGATGTTGATGGACTGGGAAAGAGGATGCAAGTTTCCCCCAGGCCTTGTCCATAAAAGACAGAAAACTGGGATGCCTGGGTTCCCCGCAGCCTCCACCATGAAGCCTTTAAAAAAAAATTTTGGGCCAGGCACAGTGGCTTATGCCTGTAATCCTAACATTTTGGGAGGCTGAGGCGGGTGGATCACCTGAGGTCAGGAGTTTGAGACCAGCCTGCCAATATGGTGCTGAAACTCCCATCTCTACTCAAAACACAAAATCAGCCAGGTGTGGTAGTGTGCACATGCTATCCACGTTTACATGGGAGCTGAGGCAAGAAATCACTTGAGACCTGGGAATCACGCCACTGCGACTCACCATGCGTGACAGAGTGAGACTTCGTCTAAAAAAAAAAAAATTTTTTTGGCTGGTGCCGGTGCTCAATGCCCATAAATCCAGCAACTTTGGGAGGCCGAGCAGGGATCATGTTGAGGCCAGGATTTTGAGACACAGTCCTGGCCCAACATGGCAATAGCCGGTCTCTACTGAAAATACAAAAATTAGCCAGGCATGGTGACTGCGTCTGTAACCCAGCTCTTGGGAGTCCTGATCGCATGAGCAATTGCTTGAACCTGGAGGCACGAGGTTGCAGGTGAGCCAAAATCATGCTACCGCACTCCAGCCTGGGCAACAGAGTGAATCTCTATCTCGGGAAAAAAAAAAAAAAGAAAAAAAAGAAAAAAATTTTTAATTCATTTTTTATTTTTTGTAGAGAAAAAAAAAAAAAATGTTGCCCAAGTTGGTCTCAAACTCCTGGCCTCAAGTGATCCTTCTGCCTTGACCTCCCAAGTAGCTGGAAAAAACAGGCACATGCCACTATGCCCAGCTAATTTTTACATTTTATGTAGAGACAGGGTCTTGCTATTTTGCCCATGCTGGTCTCTAATTCCCAGCCTCAAGCGATTCTCCTACCTTGGTCTCTCAAAATGCTGGGATTACAGATGTGAGCCACTGCACCAAAAAAAAAAAAAAAGCTTTTACGGACACTCTTCAGTCCTCCTCCGGCCCCTCTCCTCTCTAAAAAAAAAAAAAAGCCCCCCTTTGTTGGATGCAGAGAGACTATTGGCAGAATCCCCAGACAAAAAAAAAAAAAACTGAGAGGGCCTTGGCCAGAGCAGGGAGGGTCAGGGTCACTGTCCCCAAAAAAAAAAAAAACCTGGGACTTTCCCACCACTCAGCCCCGTGGCCCTGTGGTAGAAGACAAACGGGGGAGACATCGTCCTGAGGCCTGCCGGTGACTTGCTCGGTGACCCTGGGCAAGTCACTTCCCTTCTCTGGGCAAGTAGAGGAGAGTCCTTTAGTTCTGGTAAGTAGAGGTCAGGACAGTGAGGGGCAGAGCTGTCAGCATAGCACTCACCGTATTTGGCTGCCTTCGCAGCTGCCTTAGCAGCTGCAGCCGGTGACACAGCCCCTGGAGAGACCAAGAGGGACACAAATGCTCAGGAGAGATTGAAGGAGAGCTGCACAGTATGTATCTGTCTGTCTACCCATCTGTGTGTTGGGCCACAAAAAAAAAAAAAAAACATAGAGTTGGTTATATCTCCATTTATGCACTGATGATGTCCCCCAAAAAAAAAAAAAAATACCCAGCCACCTCCATCATCCATCTACCCAATGACCCACCTCTATAAAAAAAAAAAAAACTTTTTTTTTTTTTTTTTTTTTGAGACAGAGTCTCAGTCTTGTGGCCAAAAAAAAAAAAAAA